CTTCCTTTTCCACCATTCTCCCTGCACAGCGTAGATTTTTTTTTTTTTTCACCAAGGCGACGATGCTTGGCTGGTTGAAGGCTAGAGCTCCCGTCTCATGGCCACGCCGGCGGCAGGTCCACAGAGGCGGGTCCTCGACTCGATCTGCCTCCAAAGCAATGACGCAAAACATATCCTCCCCCCGGTCGTACCGCGTCGGGCGATTGGACTTAACGCCATCCCATTGGAATTAGCACGTACTCGCGAGGCCACCAGGCCACGGCCAGGTAGTCATGCGCTGTGAGTTATTTATAAAATCGTTGGTGCTAAAACAAGATTTTAACTGACTAATTGTTATGCATAATATGGCAAACGGCTACTCACATCTTGAGGTTCCTCAGTCTCGTAGAGGTAGCAAAACAGCAGATTGGGTTCCATCGGATCTCTCATGAAGTACAGGAAGGTGCAGTGGCTGCCAAACATTTGAGAGTATTTCTTGATTTCATTCAGGGAATGCTTGAACATTGGCTCGCTGTTTGCCATGGATAGATGCATTGGGTCGTTTTCACCCATGCTGTAGCCTTTGATGAAACCATCCGATATAGTCAGGGACATCTAAAACAAGTGACATTAAAAATGCTGGATGCCATCTTTTGAATTTATAATCTCTGTCTGGTCCATTATAATAATTCTTACCTTCTCACGCATCCCTCTTAATCGTATTTCAGCTAAAATCCATGGCATCATAGGAGAGGAGAGCCGTCGATCCATGGCTGCAAAGCCAAGATAATCAACTGGAATCCCCATTTTGGCTGCTTTCAGTTTGAACGTAAACTGTCACTTGCACTCCTCAACCACGACAACAATGGTGGTTCCTCGAGTTACCACTATCACTACAGCTCCTCTTCTGTTGTTTACATCTTGACAGGAGCACGAGTCCACACGACAACAGTTCATAGAGATTTCACGCTGCTCACTTGACAAGACTCATCAATGCTCGCAACTGCCAGAGAGGCGCAACAGTCCCAAGCGAAGAGTCCATTGACACTGATGCAGAACCACGACCACCATCACTGGGGAGAGTGTGAGGGTAACAAGTGTTCCTCCCAACCAAGCAAGTCAATCAGCTGATCCTCATCAAGGCACTGGCACTGCACTGCTCGAGCTGCAGCTGGAGCTGGAGGAGCGCGGAGCGGCCCAGGGGAGCCTTGTCCGGGCCGGGGGAGGCGTCCGCAGGGCGTCCGCAGGGCGTCCGCACGCGGGCACGGGCACGGCACGGGCACAACGACTGCGACTCGAGACATCCAGGTGAGAGGCCTTCGCGACGGTGACTGGCGCTGGCGGGTAGAGGTGGTTGGTTGGGTGCCCAGCCCGGCCCGGCTGCAGCGCTGGAGAGGTGGGGGAGGCGGCCCGCGGGTCGCGGTGGGCACGGGGCACGGTGCGCGGGGGGCGCGGAGGGCCCGACCGCGGTCCTATCCTGTCGCGGGGCGCCGAGGGGCCTGACCGACAGCAGACGCAACGATTGTAAACAGTAAACAATCACAGTCAACGTAAACAGTGGCCGGGCCGGCACTGCCTTCCATACCAACAGGTGAGTGCGTTCTGAAGGGTTAAGGTGGCTTCGCGCTCAACTTGATCGTCAGGCGGGCGGGCGCTTCACGCTACTTTTTCGGCATTTGGGAAAAGATGCGAGGTTTCATTGATCAACTGGCCTCAAGCAGCCACTTGGTAACTCGTTCCTGGGCCGATTCATCGCTTTGACAGTGTGCGTATTTGAAACGAAGAAACTTTTCGCGGGACAGTGCCGCCACCCACTTGTGGCTTTGGCGGCTTTGCTGGATTCCCGACAGGTTGCAGCACCGAGCAAACAAAGAGGCTGCAAACAGCGGGAACTTTGAAAATGTTTGGAGAGTAGGCAACATTTAAACTTAAAATAGAATATATATTATTCTCTTTGTCGACACCTTACCGTGGTTTACTGGAAAATTGCTTCCAAAACTCGCATTTTTGAAGTCTGCTCAGATTTAGGTCACAGATCGTTGGAACGATTGCTTGAAATTTGGATCATCGACAGTTCTATGTTGGTCCCATTCAATCCGAGAGAAGGGGGGG